GTTTTTTGAAAAAAATTCCACGCAATGAAAAGGTTTGCATATGTTACAGGAGATGCTACTGCTTTCTTGATCAAATATCTTATTGGAAATGAAAAAGAAAAAAAACTTTCTTCAAATAGACTGGTGGGTATCGATAAGAAATTTAACAGACGACATTACTAGACAAAAATATATGGTAGAACTCAAGGATCTAGCGAGCAGGAAAATTTCAGCGGACACTGTCGTTAAACTCCAAATTGTAGCCTGAAGAGCACGAGTAATTTTGGCGGGAGTGTGCTCAGTATTTTCCTGTCGAGAATTACGGCGATCATCATTGAGTTTAACGGAAGCGGAGGGCTGCGGAGAGAAAGAAATTTGAACCATTTGGGCTGAGCGACTGTGAAAAAATATTGAGGGGGGTGAGGATAGGGGAATGCCCCTTCCAGCCCCCTTCCCCTACCGTGGAATCTAACTCCAAATCACAGGTTAATTAAGCTTTATCTCAGGACCAATAAAAATCGTATTTCGCGTTTTCGAGACTATTTCTTTAGTAGAATTTGTATCATGTGGAATAGTATCCCTGATGATATCAAGTTGGCTGAATCCTTGGGTTCATTCAAGTGCCAACTTAAATCATAATTTTTTAAGCGTTTTTAAAATGTTTTCGATGGGGGCAACGTTCGTTCATTTAAGATTATTTGCCCTAAATGTAGAAGAGTAAAGTTATATGGTGCATGCACTTGTTAATTATAAATTAATCAGTTAACTTATTTAGTTTTGGTTGATGGATCGGGGAAGGGTTTTTTTGTTTCTTTCTTATTTTTAATTATTACCGAAGGGCTGGGTTGGTAGTTGAATCTTGTAGGAAAAATAATGTCTTATTATTCATACTATCCGTACATTGTAATTAGTGTGCAAATCGTTAGATAAATCAATCAATAAATAAATAAATAATAAATATAGCCGGTTGAATGAACGATCGCGTGCTTCTTGACGTTAACTCGTCCTAATGAGACGTCCGCACTGCAAATTCCTCCGGGACATGCGTACGGTCAGGCTGTAGATATAAATGTAATTGTACCGTAAAATTTTTCTAAAGCTACTCATTTACTGCGTCGTCCAGTTATCTAGGCAGCAAGTAATTCGAGTTTTTTAAGGTTTCCTATATCGCCCGACAAGTTTTCCACCTTTATTTCAAAGAAAGAAGATATAAAGAAACAGTTAGTCGCCACATACTTTTTTCGAAAAAGTAACAATTTACTTCTTTCAATAGCGAGCTTTAGCTGTAAAGAAGAAAGCATAATTTATCTAATGAGCGCAAGCCTATTACACTAATCTCGTTCCCAGCCCCAGCGGATGCGGAGCCGAGTGTCCTGTGCCCCGAGTGTTGAGTTAAGGAACTAAGTCCCTGAGGAACAAGATTACTTGCATGCTTCATACAATGCACAGGAAGGTTGCACCCTACAAAACTCGGCAGAACCCTTGAAGCACATCTCCATTGCTTGTTCTTATCTCATTGTACCAAAATGTATCCCATCGCTTTGATATGTATATTACCATATTTAGCTTCGCTTCCGCAGGTGTTGGAGTCATCGTGCTTACCTCCTGTGCCGAACCCGACTCTGGAGTCACAAGTGTTGCAGTCGTTCTCGTTGTTTCCGAGGATTCCAATGCGAGCTTTCGGTCTTCCTGATCCATCGCACTTCACATTAAACCCCTCTCGGCTGCAATTGGGCTGTAAGGATGCCTGTGAACCAATCAGCTTTATCCACGTGTCACGCCCCAACGAGGTCGTGCGACGGTTTCCATCGGCGATTAATGAGTAGAGGGAATTAGCTTGCCGGTTGATGAGTATGAAGTTAATATGTTGTTCGATCTTCATACCGAGGCAGATCTTGGTGAAAGATGTGTTCCAATAGGCCGTTAACTTGGTCTCTTGGGAGTCAAAGCCAGTCTTTCCTCCGTCAATATTGAAGGTTTCATTGTTGCTCCAGAGATTAGAATCGTAGTGAAAAGTTTTCTATTTAGCGTAAATAAACAAGAGAGAGTTTTGATAACCGACTTAAAAGACTTTAATGGTCGTATAACCTAGGCATCTCTTCCGACTAATATTCCTAAATGAAGCCTCCACACAATAGTTGTCCGTGGCCAGTGAAATTTGAGAACATTACAGTTTAACAAATTTATACCTGAGAGCCGTTTATTTTCATAACCAGCGTCCATTCACCCCCACCGCATGCGCCGAGACTGATCATGTGACATCTTTCCCCGATCCAAGGCTGTTGGCAAGCGCACGAGAAAGTTTGCCTTTCTACGTCTCGAATACAAGAACCACCATTGAGGCAACCAATCATCTGACAACCCTGGAGAATATAGATAACATGAGTCGCTCGTAAGAGATGATACTTTATCCTTAGGTATTAGTAGCAAACGGCCATCGTCATGGTCAGCAGGCGGAGCCAGTCAGCAAGCCGAAATATCTCTTCTTTCAGAACATGATATTTTCAGTGTGTTCTGTGAACGTAACATTAATTTTTTCACGTATAAAGAGAAGCGCGTCATCATGGTGACAGAACATATCAATATGGTGGATTTACTTTCCATGAAGGGTTTTAATTTTTTACTTTACCGATAGAACTAAACTTTAATTCAAATATTTTTGAAAGGAAAAGTAATTTTTATGAGAGGATTTTGGAATATGATAAGCAGATTATTCTGCATCCTTCTGATATCCCCCATGAAACGGTAGGTTAATTTAATTTACGCGAATTCTTTTCTCTTTTTCACTCATTCATTTAATCACTATAATTTTCGCACTTTTGGTAAGTTACACCGTCCTATACGTGCCATGTTTTACGCTCTCTCGCAGGAGTGCCTTCTTTATCAATTACTTTTGCTTCTGTTTAAGTGTGTCGTGTTTCCTAGATTACCCTCGTCATTTGGTAAGTTTCCCTCTCTTCGTATCATTGCATTTACTTTCCTGTCTTATTCAGTCGTCACCAACAAAGTAGAAAGGGTCGGGGGACTGTAGAAAATTGACCGTTCACAACTGCTCTTTTGAAATAAAGAATGACCGCTCCAGTTAAGATAATCAGAGAACATATACTGTTGATTCTGACCTTTAGTAACAGCGAGAAAGTCGTTCCTTCGTCGTCAGAAAAATCGTTGTTTTCGTTAACAATGGACATGTCGTGCTTGTTCAGTTCACAAGTTCCTTCGTCTTTCTTCTTGGAGGAAAAATTGAAGTTGGTCGAAGTACACCAGGTGTTTCTCAGACATTGCTGACCGCAAGATAATAAACTGGGTGAATAAAGCCGTTTGGCAACATATCCAATGAGCCTCCTATTTTGCAAGGTTTCAAAAAAGGAAAAGCGAGAATTTTTGGGGTTGTCTTCGGCGGAAAAACGTACATTACCCAACAAGAATAACAATACAACTGTCGTATTCGAAGCCATATCTTGTTCTGTTGCACTATCAGTGGAATAGTCTTTGCAGCTTGTAATAACACTTCCTGTGCTTCATAATTTGATTAAAACTTGTCGCACTATGTGGAGACACCTGTCGCTTTTTGTAATAATAACTAATTACCCCGTTACTTTGACAAAAAAATGTCAACAAAAATGTTGACGCTCTGAGAGAACTGAATTGCTTCCTAGCCCGGCATTAACTGAATCTCCATTTTCCATTCACTTTGAAAGCGCCTAATTATGCCTTAGCAGTCTTACGTCATGAACATATTTCGCTTTGAAAGTGATGAATTGGCTGACAGCGAATTAGCAAACTCCTAGTGGCACAAAAAGCTGCAAATTTCACTCAATAAAAATATTTGCACATGTTACAGGATGTGTTACTGCTTTCTTTTGAAAATGAAAAAAAAAACAAACAACTTTCCTCAAATAGGTTGGCGGGCATCGATGAAAAATTTAACAGACGACACCAATAGACAAAAATATAGGGTAGAACTCAAGGATCTAGGGAGCAGGAAAACCTCAGCGGACACTGTTTTCAAACTCTAAATTGTAGCCCGCAGAGAACGCGTAATTTTGGTGAGAGTGTGCTCAGTATTTTCTTGGCGGGAGTTACGGCGATCATCATTGAGTTTAACGGAGGCGGAAGGCTGAGGAGATAAAGAAATTTGAACCATTAGGGGCGAGCGACTGTGAACAGATATTGAGGGGGGTGAGGATATGGGAGTGGCCCTTTCCGCCCCTCCCCTTACCGTGGACTCTAACTCCAAATCAAAGTTAAATTAAGCGTTATAACAGGAGAAATATAAATCGTATCTCGCATTTTCGGGACTATTTCTTTAATAGAATTTGTATCATGTGGAATATCAAGTTGGCTGAATCCTTGGGTTCATTCAAGTGCCAACTTAAATCATTATTTTTAAAGCGTCGTTATAATGTTTTGGATGGGGACAACGTTCGTTCATTTAAGATTATCTGTCCAGAATGCAGAAGAGTAAATTTATATAGTGTATGCAATCGTTAATTATGAATTAATCAATTAACTTATTTAGTTTTGGTTGATATATCGGGAAAGGTTTTTTCTCTTGTTTTTAAATTATTATTACCAAAGGGCTGGTTGTCGAATCTTGTTGGGGACATAATGTCTTATTACTACTCGTACATTGTTATTGGTGCCGCAAATCTTTAAATAAATAAATAAATAATAAATATGGCCGGTTGAATGAACGATCGCGCGCTTCTTAACGTTAACTCGCCCTTCCAAGATGTCTGCACTGCAGGCTCTTCAGAGACATGCGCACGGTCAGGTTGTAGATATAAATGTATTTGTACCGTAAAAGTCTTTTAAAGCTACTCATTCAGTGAGTGTGCCAGCCAGTCAGCTAGCCAGCTAGTAATTCGAGTTTTTGAAGGTTTCCAATATCGCCCGAGAGCTTCCACTTTTATTTCATAGAGAGAGGATACTTATAAATTTAGAGAAAAACAAAAAAAACTGACAGTCGCCACATACTTTTTTTGAAAAAGTAACAATTTATTTCTTTCAATAGCGAGCTTTAGCAGTAAATAAGAAAGCATAATTTATTTAATGAGCGCAGGCCTATCACACTAATCTCGTTCCTAACCCAGTGGATGCGGAGCTGAAGGTCCTGTTCTCCAAGCGTTGGGTCAGGGATCGAAGCCTCTGAAACAAGATTACTTGCATGCGTCATATAATGCACAGGAAGGTTGCACCCTGCAATACTCGACAGTGACTTTGAACCACATCTCTATCGCTTGTTCTTCTCTCATTGTATCAGAATGTATCCCATCGCTTTGATATGTATATTTCCATACTTAGCTTCGTTTCCACAGGTGCTGGAGTCATCGTGTATACCTCCTGTGCCGAACCCAATTCTAGAGTCACAAGCGTTGCATTCGTTCTCGTTGTTTCCAAGGATTCCAATGCGAGCTTTCGGTCTTCCTGATCTATCGCTCTTCACATTAAACCCCTCTCGGTTGCAATTGGGCTGTAACGATGCTTGTGAGCCAATCAGTTTCATCCAGTTGTCACGACCCAATGACGTCGTGCAATGGTTTCCATCAGCGATTAATGAGTAGAGGGAATTAGCTCTCCGGTTGAAGAGTATAAAGTTAATATGTTGTTCGATCTTCATACCGAGGCAGATCTTGGTGAAAGATGAGTTCCAATAGGTCGGTAACTTGGTCTCTTGTGAGTCAAATCCAGTCTTTCCTCCGTCAACATTGTAGGTTTGATTGTTGCTCCAGAGATTAGAATCGTAATGAAAAGTTCTCTAGTCAGTGTAGATGAACAAGAGAGATTTTTTAATAACAGACTTAAAGGCCTTTACTGGTCGTATAACTTAGGCATCCCCTCTTAGCTTGTTGACGGATAAATACTATTATCATTCGATGGATTTTTTTCCCCATTTTCATTGGCTGGGAGCCGACCACGTGATCTACAAAAAACTTCCTACAAGTAATGGTTTGCTCATGCGTACTACCGTCTAAATCCGTCTTTGCTGCAAATAATATTCTGCTCATGCGTAGTATTCACAGATTTTATCGACCAAAACAAACAAGGAAAACATTTGATATCTGGCAGTAGTGCGCGCTTGCCGCTTCCCCCCCAAAAATTGAAAACAAACTCGCTTGCTGCTTCCCCCAAAAAATTGAAAACAAACTCGGTGATCGAATGATAAAACAATTATCGAACTCGGTTATCGTAAAATATTGTGATTTGTCAGTGTAGGAGCTCGCAGATCAATTATTTGCCTTAGCCTTCGGCTTCGGGATAGGGTAAAGTATGGACTGGACTGGATTATTTTTTTAACCATTTTTTTTTTTTACCATTTTATAAGGGGGGAAGCTCACCATTAGTACTCAGGGAGGGGTGGGTGCAGTCTATAAGTACTGAGGGAGGGATGAGAGGCCGACTGTTATTACTCAGGGAGAGGCGAGAGGTGGTTGTAATTGTAAACTCTACTGGTTAATGGAGGTTTATTCGATCGTACAAATTATATTAATCGGTCTTAAACCGGTTGCTTATATGATGGAATACGAGTGTTTTGATTTCCTACCATTCGGTCTTGATGTTCAGGTTTAGATCTCCTCGAATTATTGCTTTGTCTTGATAGAATACAAGCAGGCTAAGCCTTTCAACATTTTTTACCGCTTTTTCTCAAGGCAGTGATTGATATCGCCGAGGGACTTGAATTTTTGCATTCAAGGAATGTGGTACACCGCTAATGTCTATTTCAGTAGCCATATATGGCTTGTCCCGCGCTCAACGTTGGACGTCTGCGCGTGAACCAATGTTCTCCTCGAAAAGTCGAAAACAAATTTTTCGACTTTTGCGTTTTCGAGTTCTACGTTTTAGAGGTCTGTGTTTTCGAGGTCTGCGTTTTCGAGGTCTGTGGTCTGCGTTTTCGAGACACCCGAGAGAAGGTTGTTTTGTACGACTGTACCAACAATGATTTTATATAGTAAACGTATAAACGGTAAAATTGCGATGCGCGGCTTGTGAATTCAATATGCGGCTAAGTCAAGGGCTAAGGACCGGAAATTCCGTGATCTCGTCTGATGACACAAAGGAAAACTGATGGGTCACAAGTCGCCTCAAAAGGCACACGCATAACCTATGCCAGACTGGCAACTCAACAGTGGAGGATCGTAAACGTGATATTTTCAATACAAATGAAAGTCCGGTGTTTACATGACAGTTTCGCTTTCACATGACAAAAAAATTAAGGAAACGCCTCGGCCCGGCGCAAAAAATTTGATATACAAAAAGTCAGTCGAAAAACCGATAAAATAATTTGCACGATCGAGTAAAAGCTCCATTAACCAGTAGTGTTTACAATTACAACCACCTCCCACCCTCCCTGAGTAATAACACTCTGCCTCCCACCCTCCCTCAGTACTTATTGACTGCACCCACCCCTCCCTGAGTACTAATGGTGTGCTTATTGGCGTTGTTGGGTGGGAGAACAACGTGAGGTTTATGGAATTAAGTGCCGCTCTCGCTAAGAGCGATCTTCTCGACTAACGTTTGAGAAATAAAGTTTCGTTTACTTATAGCCCGTGAAAAAGGGTTTCGGACACATGTTTCAAAATGGTTTGGTTGTTTTCCAATTCTCCTTTTTTGCGTCGCCATAACTTATGTAGAACATGTAGAGGATAAGCAAACGAAGCTGAACGGTCTAAGAGCTAGATGTCCTTGTTAATTTTCAGAATTATGCAAATAAGTTTTGTAAACACAATTGAGTACTCTCGGGTTTGAGGCAATCTGTGTCCTCATTGGTGTCTAAAATATCCACTGATATGCTTTTTTAGCCCTGCCTACGCTTGCATTTTAAGAATTCCGAGTCTTTGTTAGAAATTGGTAAAGTGTGGATATGCAAGTTAAGAGAAGGGTCTCCCGATCACGCTTACGTAAGATTTCAGGTGAAGTTTCCACATTTTACCTACAAACTGTGTGTAAGCTGCTTCTTATGTTTCCTCGATTTTCATATGTGGATACAAGATCTGTCGTCTGGAACAAAATTATCAACATGACAGCTTGAAGTCCATCACCAGGAGAAGTCAGCCGGAAAAGGATGACAACTTTACTGATTTAGAAAAAGAAAACTCCGGATTGTTGAAATATCTTCCCTTGGAAAAGTGAATGAGATTCCGATTTCGAAAAAACCCAAAGTAGTATAACTCTTACGAGTAAAGAGACTCAGTCCTAATCAAGAAGTCTGAAGAATTTCGTTAATATTCGTATGTGAAGAGGATACCCAGTAATGGTTGGAAAATGTCCAGACAATTTTAAATCGATCGCCTTAACATAGCATAAGTTCTGAACCGCTGTCGACAAGTAAAGTCAAATCCATTTATTTCGCAGGGGATTTTTAAATACTTTCATGTTATACTAGTTGAGAAATCGTTTTTGTTTAAGAAACTGAAAAAGAAAGGCAAATAACATACTAACATAAGCTCTGAACAGCTTTCGACAAGTAAAGTCAAGTTCATTTACTTTGAAGGGGAGTCTTAATTTTTCCGTAAAATAAAAGTAGAGACATTCTTTTTTTAAGAAACTGAAACAAAAAGGCGGAGGAGTATAAACATTTTAAAAATTTCTCTTTCCGACAGGATGACTGAATCTGCGGGGAAATTGTCAAAAGTAATGATGGGGGAGCCTCTTTACACAAAAAGATGAAAGCTTTGTCACTTATGATGTATGAAAGGGAAATATTCTTTTAATTTAATTCTCCAATTTCAATAGAAAAGCTCCACATTGTGTATTTGTTATACTTTAAACCACAGCGCGTACGAAACCAGATGTCTTTGAAAGTGAGACAAACATACAAAAAGAAATCAGGTGGGAAGCCATTTAAATTCGTGAAATTGCAAATATCATGTCCCATTATGCCTCACTGAGCTTTCACGAGAACTTACGCCACAAGGAGTGAATTAATGGCAGATTTTAGCACAATAACCATCACAGCATGAAATGATGAATTTACGTATCTTTAGCATTTGCGTAAAGATCCGTAAATATATGGCGTTTTCTTTACGGAAAAGTAACGCATTCCGTAAAGACGCGTAAATGCAAGGAACGCGTAAAGAATACGTAAACAATGTTACATATTCGTAAAGAATATGGGTCAAAGATGGATACAACTCACTGCTTTCTAGTTAGTAACCCCCCAAAAATTGACATAATCGTGTTTCGTCTGTCTTAGGTAAAACTTTATGTATTTTGAGCAGTTTCGCTGGAGACACTTTACGCGTCTTTAACATCCTTTACGATTATTTACGCACTGTTCTTTACGGACCTTTATCATTCTTTACGCACAATAAGTTTACACGTCTTTAATTTTATGTTCGCGGTTATCAGAATCTCTTCTTTTACGTTGTTTCATACACAAGCATAAACCTGCTGTCCGCGTCAATATATTTAATAACTTAAAATAGGCGCTCCCCATTTCGAGCTCGAGAGATTAGTTTTTTTTTTCTTTTTGAAACATGTATGATTGGAGGAACAAAAATGCGTACAAGCTACATAATGCCTATTACAGGAAGCTTTTCGAGCCATAAGATCAGCTGATTGCCTTGGCCTGCGTGTTTTCTATTCCATTACGCCATTACTGTGTCCCAGTCTGGGACACAGTAATGGCGGCCGGAAATCGCTGAAAACATCTGGAATTCACTTCTGCTGTAAAAATCGATCCGCTCGCCCTTTAGAACTAGCAGATATTTACATAAACACTTTTCACGATACCTCGACTGTTTAGATTGCTAAAAATCGCTGTAAGAGTATAAGAGCTGTAAGAGCTGAAAACCTTCAAAAGGAGATGCATTTAGGATGTTCAATAACCAAAGAAAGCTGAAAACTCAGGGGCCCTGCGATTTATCATTTTAGAATATCGATGACGTCACGTGAAAACAAAGAATACTCAGCATTTTCTGCCCATCCCCTCAAGTTGCATTTTATTTAAGTCTTTAATGAAGATTAAAGATGTTTACCAACAAATTTGGAAAACCACATTGTCTACGTGTCCAGGAATTTATTTATTATTTATTGGAAAAAAAAACTACCTCAGTAGATTTCAAAAATTTAAATGTTAATGGAAAAAGGCATGTCAGAGAAAGGAAAAATAAAAACACTGATTCCGAGGAACGTTTTAGCAACCCCGCAGCGGGCTTTTCGGACCGGCGGCGGCAAAGGATAGGATGACTAGACTTACATGAAGTATTTTACCAATTTTTTTGAAAAACGCATGCGTAAAGTTTTGTAGACATGCGCAGTGTTAGATGTGATACATCCCACATGGATGGTGAGTAACACACTGTCTCATATATATACTTATCAAATCCTTACGCACTTATAACACATAAGGCATCTGCCGATCACGTTTACGTCTACGTTATAATCCGTGAAAAGGTGATGACCTGACTGACTGCTCACATGACTGATCATCTCTCCGGCCAATACTTCGGTTCTCACTTCGGCACTACTTCGGCACTTCGATACTTCGGACTCATTTGCATAAATCTCATTTGCATAAAGTAAACTCGAACCTAATACTTTGGCCGAGCGACTTTTTAATTCTTGTTTAAACTCGGTCCCATGCTCCGCGGGATTGCCGGAGTAGACGCCTTACACTAATTACGATTTTTTACAATACGCGTAAAGAAACCGTTTATAGTCTCATTGCGTGATCTTTATATTCAACCGTTTACATCGCGTAAAGACTTTCTTTACGAAAGTCTTAAGAAGCTCGTAAAGATAAGTAAAGAGGATCTTAACGCTTTCTTTACGACGTCTTTACGGAACCGTAAATTCAAAATTTCTTGCTGTGCATATTAATCTATCCGTCTCAAAAATGATAAGGTGGATAACGCCGGAAACTATTAAGGAATGGATTCAAAACAGTCTAATCGAGTTATTCAATCTCAGTACGATTTTTCGCGAAGAAGTTATGGTCTGAAAATTTAGAATAATCAGGAAAAGGTGAAAGTTGGCTCATAAAGTAACATAGGGCAAGATACTTTTTAAGTTATTTTTGAATTCTATATTCATATAGTATCTCAATTTGATTACCTGAGGATTATTGCGAAGTTGATGTTTAATTTTTACGTGTAAGGCCTCAACCGAGTTATGTTTTTCGTTTTCGCTCACAGTGAAGGTTTTGTTTGTTAATGTAATATGATAGTTAAATGACTGGTTTGAATTCAGTCCGTCAGCGATAGAGAAAAAATTCTGTATAACGATTTTAACTAATGAATGCAATAAAACAATAATTACCCTCAGGAGAAATGAGAAAATGACTCCATCGCGGTCAGCGAAGTAAATGTTTTCGTTTACAACGAAGATATCATGCTTGTTGAGTTCACAAGTTCCTTCGATTTCATCGTCCGTCTTTAAGGAAAACTTGAAGTTTATCGACGTACACCACAGATTGCTAAGACAGTGTCGACTACACGATAACAGAGTGGGAGAGTAAGACCTCTCGACAACAAATCCCATGAGTTGCTTATTTTCCTGTATTTTGAAATATGATGAACGAGAATCTAAGCTGGAGGTTCCTTTGGCGATGAACATGGTGGAATTTTAAAATAGGAAAAAGAATAATATGTTGTTATACCCCATTGGAAAGGAAGCCAGCTCTGACCATGACAAATAAAAAGTGATCCCTGAGACATTTAGCACTCCCAATAAAATATTAAATGTTTACTTCTTTTAAAAATGTTTAGATGATGACAAGCACGTGACTGACAGAGTTCATTTGTGGTCATGAGATCGGAGATGCTCGAGGCGTGCTCGGCAGTCTTCACGTCGCTGACGTTTTCCAGCGACCACTTCTGACAGCCTATCTAATTTGCGTTTGACATATGGTGCAGTTGTTGAAACAAAGCTAAGCTAAACATAGGGCTGGTTATTTAAACAAAGCTCAGCCGTTGTTTAACAAACCGCGCTCTGAGCCATCTTTAATCTAGCCGAGCTTTTTTTCTGAACATATATTTTTGTGAAAAATGATAAGAGGGCCGAATGCTAATCACAAGTGGAAGTTCATTTATCTGATCAAATCAACCCTCATACCGGGAATACTTGAGGCCCACTGCTAGCTTAGAACCGCGGTTTGAGTTTGACTTTGTGGGAACACCTGACCGCTGGGCTTGGGTCGCGAACCACAACACATCTGAAAATGTGTGGAGGGCTCGTACATTCACTTTCTTTTTTTTTTTCTCTAGCAAGTGTGCACTTAACGAACTCTGAAAGCAAGATGCAGACTGTTTTAGGTCCCTCTCCCCATTCCTCCTCTCCTCATTTCTGCGAGTCAAAGAGTCAGTAATCTTACGTTTATTAGGATTAATAGCTACTGTTATCATTTTATCATAAATAATCTCTTGATAGTTACTTCCTATCGATATCTAAAAATTTTCCTTCAAAATATTTAATAAACCAAATGAAACTATTAATTTTTGCATAATTCTTTGAGAAGCTACAGCCAAGGCGTCAACTGCAAGAAATTCTATCACAGCCAGTTTGAGAGCTCGGGTTTTGGTTTTATAATCACCAAGGAGTGAAAGTCTGCCGCACGATAAAGGTACGATAAAGATAACTGTCATTGCAAAGATAACGATTACAATAACAAAATATTTTGAAAAATCTCGCTGTTAGCGGATAATATTGAGATTTGTGTTTGTGAAGGAGTTAATATTACCGCAAAATTTAAATCAATTTATTCATTTTTACATGCTCCAAATCTGCTGATCTCTCAAACGTATTCACGGCCATTCCGTGCTTCTCCGCCAACTTAATTTCGAAACTGGTACTGTAACACCTCTCTATGCGCTGCACCACCATGTTGAAGAATTTACTACACTGAAATATATCCCATGGCTGTGATATGTCTTTTGCTGTTATCTGGGTTATGTCTTGCTTGGTTACCACACGTGTTTGAGTCATCGGGATTACCCCCAGTACCAAATCCAATTCTGGAATCACAGGAGCCACAATTGCTTTCTTGGTTGCCAATATAACCGATTCTTGCTTTCGAATGAGAAGCTCTAGTACACACCACATTGAACCCTTCTTTGTTGCAATTGCGCTGCAGAGAGGCCCGTGAGCCAATCAGCCTCTTCCACGAGTTACGACCCAGTGAGGTGGCGCGGTATTTACCATCAGCGATCAGTGAATATAGTGAGCTAGCCGGCTTGTCAATTGCAATAAAGCTGTCCTCCTCACCGATTTTCATACCGAGGCAGATCCTTGTGAATGGTGTGTTCCAGTAGGTCGGTAACTTGGTCTCATTTGAGTCAAGCCCAGTCTTTCCTCCTTCAAGGTTGAAAGTTTTTTTATTGCTCCAGAGGTCATCATCATAGTGAAACGTTCTCTAGACACGGCATAAACAAATTAATTCTTAATTACAAAGTTTGTCTCGTTAAGACCTGAGTGATTCACGATTTTCAAACTGATAGAACGATGCATGGATAAAAGTGCATTCAAGTACATTAAAACTGGGCTATGACTTATTTCGACCCCAACGAATGACAAGCATATAGTGCAAGAAAATTGTGGCTTCTGTTCGTTTTTAAGCCTAACGATAAAGTGTTTATGAAATATGAATAAATAAAGCAAATAAATCTTGTAATGCCAAAATATTTTTGCTTAAGCAATCGCGAATCGTTAAAGCAGTTCACTGTTTTCACTAGACGTCTTGCAGAAGACCTTAAAGCCATAACTAGTGAACCCATACTAGCGAGCCATTCATCTTCATAACCAGCGTCCATCCATATCCACCGCATGCGCCAAGACTCGTCATGTGACAGTACACGGGCACCTTGTCAGAACTTATATGTAATGAATAAGCCTTATTCCCATCAGCCCTAAAAGAAATGACGACAGAGATTTCAAACGAACTGCAACAAGGAAATAGGTAAGAGGTATATGCATGAGGGTGGTGGTTTGATGACGTAAAAGTACAAAACTTTAGGAACATTTGCCTCGCTTTATTATTTTTTATGACGAAGTTTTAAAATGATAAATTTGTATTTTATGACTTGCTGAGGCTCTAGTCACAGAATGGTTTTCTCGTATCATCTATTTTAAAGTTTTCAATTTGAATTATTTTCCACGAAAAAACAAGTTGGAAGCGTGAATTTCTGTTTCTTCCTCAAGAATTGAAGTCGCCAAAAATACTCCTTTGTTTCTGGATTGTAAAAGTCGATCTTCATCGTAACTACAGGTACTTTTCAATCAGATTGACCACGACTTTATCCGTTTGATGCTGGAAGCCAGTACTGAATGTATCTAAGTGAGTAGAAAATGTTCTACC